TTGTATGGCCTATTTCTTCATTGAGGAGCCATGGGCCAGCATGGTTCTCTTAAAATGGCAGTAAGACCACGTCACTTCTCTGGTCAAAACCATTCAGTGACTCCCCATCTCACACTGAGCAAAACACAAAGGTCTCACTGAGACCTTCAAGGCCCTACATGGTCTGTGCCCATCCCCATGCTTCTGATCTCACCTCCTGTCACTGCCTTCCTCCTCACCCTGCTCCAGCCTCCTCTGACACTTCAGGCTTGGTCCTCCCTCTTCCACATGCCTGAAAAGCTCAGTTGTTACATCATCCAGTTCTCTACTCAAAAGTCATCTAGTCCCAGAAGCCTGTCCAGATCATCCTATACCAAATCATGCTCCTCCCTCCCTCTCCTGACTCTTATTTTCCTCTGTAGAATGTTAATTTCCTAACACAGCTTATGAGAATGTGAGTTTCACAGGAGCAGGAGACCTAGTCTCTCTGCTCACTCTCCAGCATCCCGGTGCCTAAGGCAGTGCCTGACAGAGGGTAGGCATGCAATAAATATTCAATGGATGAATGAATGAAAACTAGTGTCCAACGTAATCCAGTTTCAAAAAAAGGAACATATTCTCTCTAACCCATCTACTTCTGTTTAAATAAAGCAACAGCAACAGTATCTTTGATCAATTACTTATTTATTTAAAAATGTTTTTAAGACTATTTTTTAGAGCAATTTTAGGTCCATGGAAAAATTGATCGGAAGGTACAGAGGTTTTTCCATATACTCCCTGCCTCCCCACATGCATAACTTCTCCCATTTCAACATCCTCCACCAGAGTGGTTCCTCTGTTACAGTTGACAAACCTACATGGACACACCATAATCACCCATAATCACATTAGGGTTCACTCTTGGTCTTGTACATTCCATGAGTTTGGACAAATGTATAATGACATGCATCCATTATTATAGTGTCACACAGAGTATTTTGATTGCCCTAAAAATCCTCTGTGCTCTGCTTTTTAATCCCTCCCCCCTAACCCCTATCAATCACTGATCTCTTTTACTGTCTCCATAATGTTGTCTTTCCCATAATGTCATGTAGTTGGAATCATACAGTATGTGGCCTTGTCAGATTGGCTTTTTTTCACTTAGTAATATGTATTTAAGGTTCCTCCATATTTTTCCATGGCTTGATAGCTCATTTATTTTTTTGTGCTGAATAATAGGTACTAGAGTTTATTTTAGTGCTGAATAATATGTACTAGAATTTATTTATCCATTCACCTAGTGAAGGACATCTTGGTTTCTTCTACGTTTTGGCAATTATGAATAAAGCTGCTATAAACATCTGTGTGCAGATTTTTATGTGAACATAAGTTTTCAAGTCCTTTGGGTAAATACCAAGGAGCAGGATTACTGGATCATATAGTAAGACTACATTTAGCTTTGTAAGAATTTCCCAAGGTGTTTTCTAAAGTGTTCTCATTTTGTACTTCTGCCAATAGTAAATGAAAGTTCCTATGGTTCCACATCCTCACCAGCACTTGGGATAGTTTCAGATTTTGGCCATCCTAACAGGTGTATAGTTGTATCTTATTGCTGTTTTAATTTGCACTTCTCTGATGACATACTATGTGTATCATCTTTTCATATGCTTACTTGCAATCTGGATTTCTTCTTTGGTGAGGTGTCTAGTAAGATCTTTGGCCTATGTTTTTTATTGGGTTGCTTATTTTCTTATTGTTGAGTTTTAATCTTCAATAAAATAATTTTTTTTGAGAGAAACTGCCATTGCTAGTTGTTTCTGTCTCGATGAAGACAGCAAGTCAGATTCTCTCTGTCCCATGAAGAGTCAGGGGAGCCCTCTGTTTATGTAAATGAACATAAAGCCATGTCCTGTGGGGGTGGGGCAGGGCCTTTTTGGTGATTTGATTGATTGAGCTACTCCTCCCTCAGTCACCAGAATACAGAAAGATGAGGAATTTTCTGTTAGAAAAAAAAAAGGAAACTGATCTTTTTCCTTTTAAGATTGAACATAATTTGAACCAATACACATTGAGATGGTTCCTGCTAAGACAGGTCAACAGAGAGAAGAAACCTCCAAGGTTTTCCTTAGGCTGCTGGCCACGAGGGAAGAAGTCTGGCCTGGTGACCTGGACTCAATGGGCATCATGGGGGGAAAGAGTTTCTGAAGCAGCGTTGGCTGCTGACACCTATCTGCCTGCTATGGGGTGTGTGCTTGCTGTGGGACCTTGGGAACCTGGGATGGTCCAGGTGTGGAGCTTTCTGGGTAGACATATCCTTGGAAAGTGCGATTTTCCTGCCTTGAAGAATCGCTGTCTTGAAGCCCACAGCAGCACCAATGATTTTTTTTGAATCAGAGAAGATGAATACTTAATTGTAGTTCTCGTGGTCCTCAATGCCTTGGCCAGGCAGCTAATTCTGGAGCAGCTGTGTTCTGGGCATGGCTGTGGTTTCCTCAGCCCCAAGGGAATCTGTCTCAGTTTTGCTTCATGTGATTGGATGGGAGTGGCTTTGGAGACACTAATAAGCACGTGGGGGTTTGGACAATGCTGAGAGGTTGGCAGGAAGCTGCATGTGGGAGATGCTGAACTTCCTGCTAATCATCAGGCATGTTTGAGAAATAAAAGTAATGCCGCCTTCCTTGTGCCCTAAGCTGGTGGGGTGGCTAATTCTGGTTACGAGACAGTCTGGTGTCCTCTGCAAAAGCAGGCAGGGTGCAACGCTCCTGCCATCTACTTCTTCTGCCTGTCCCATCACCCACTCTCTTGCCAATGGCCTTTCATCACACCCCAATGAAACCCAGCCTGCAGGATGCCACAGCCCCCCAGCCTGGTGCCACTTCAGGAGTATGGACCCCAATCGCTACCCTCTAGCCCTCTAACTTCCCTCTTTCTTCACAACTGCTTTGCTTCCCTCAAAATGACAGCTTGACCACTTTTCCTCTCACTCCCAAACAGAAACCAACAGAAACTTCTTCCACCTCCCCCACCAAAGCTGTTTCCCATATTATTAGTGATAACAGCTGATGCGCATTGAGAGCTTTCACCCAGGGTTGCCCTGCCTAAATGCTTCACTTGCCAACTCATTTCATCTGTGATTTGTCCTGTTGTACTTAAGCAAACTTGACACCAAAACCAAAAACTAAGGCACAGAGAGACTAAGTAACTTGACTGAACTTGAACAACTAATGAGATGCAGACCGGGATATGAACTCAGTCAGACTGACTCCAGGAGGCCCTGCACCTGCTCCGGCTTGGTGCCTGGAACCCACCAGCACAGAGGTGTTGAGTACAAATGTGTTGAATGAATCAATACATGAACAAACGAATCTGCAAAAACAAGGAGGTTGGACTTCAGCTTTAGATTAGAATGCTAGCCACTCAATATCAAACACAAGGGAAGGATAACAATGATTTAGTTGGGGAGGAAGTGGTGAAACACAGTAAATTTGTACTTAAAATGTATTTTTCTAATATGAATATAATACCTACTAATCAAAGAATGTATGGAAAATTCACAAAGCTATAAAGCACAAAAGTAGAACTCCAGTAAAATTCATTCCCTTATGAAAATCAGTTCTCTCTGGAAAAAAGAATACTACAGACTCCTGTCATTTACATCTTTTTCTTTGTAAGTTAAGATCTTTTTTGAAATAGATTATAATAAACTAGAGGCCCGGTGCACGACATTCATGCACTGTGTGTGTGGTGGGGTGGCCTCAGCCCGGCCTGTGCCTTCTTGCAGTCCCGGACCCCTCGGGGGATGTCCACCTGTGGGCAAGGAGCTGGCCTAAGCCAGCAGGTGGACATCCCCCAAGGGGTCCTTAGGGCTTCTGTGGAGGTGGGAGAGGCTCCCGCCACCGCCACTGTGCTCACCAGCCTTGAGCCTGGCTTCTGGCTGAGCAGTGGTCCCCCTATGGGAGCGCACTGACCACCAGGGGGCAGCGCCTGCATTGGGCGTCTGCCCCCTGGTGGTTAGTGCACGTCATAGCAACTGGTTGTTCCCCCATTTGGTCAAATTGCATATTAGGGTTTTATTATAATAAATGCCTAAGGTTAAAAATGCCACCTGCTTGTCCCTCTCCCCTCCCTAATGAAAAAGGTTCAAGGGGCCCAAATGAGATATTACAGAAATTGATTTCATTAATAGCAACAAAACCAGTGCCCATTGACCCTCAATGTGTTTACTAGTAGTCCTGCAAAGCCAGATTGGAGGATGTACCTGGACTTCCCACACCTTTGTCCATATTGAACCTGTGGGAACTGAAGAACTGAATTATCGATTAATATGTATATTATATACCATATTTTTCCGTGTATAAGATGCTATTTTTCTAAAATAATTAGGCTGAAAATCGAGGGGTGTCTTATACACCAAAGTCAGCTGCTGAAGAGGGAGCCTGGTGGATGCATAGCTGCCCATACCTTGTCAAACAGACTTCTTCCAATCATGAGCCTTATTGTTACTGACTCCAGCTGATGCCGTCATTGGAGGTGGAGGTGGAGAGTGCACAGATGCAACAGGGACCGGAGTATTTTGAGCCCATAAAGATGTCAAAAAATAAAAAGATAAATACTGGTAAGTGACTGTTTTACTCTACAAAATTCAAACTGAATGTAATCAGCTCTGCAAAAGAGCATGGAAATAGAGCTGCAGAGAGACAATTTGGACCTCCTCCCACTGAGTGTATGATCAGACAGTGGGAAAACAGGAAACAACTCCTTAAGATGCCAAAAAAGAAGAAGGCCTAATGAGGAAAACCAGGAAAATGTTTAAAATATTGATTTCTTAATTTTGGGTTGGAAAAGTGGGGGGTGTCTTATACATGGGGGGGGGGCATCCTATATACAAAAAAATACAGTATATGGAGAGAGAGAGAGAGAGAGAGAGAGAGAGATTTATTGTAAGGAATTGGCTCATGTGATTATATAGGCAAGTCCAGAATCTACAGGGTGGAGACTCAGGGAAGAGCCAGTGTTGCCTTTTAAGTCAGGAGGCCACCTGCTGGCAGAATTCCTTCTTGCTGGTGGGAGGTAAGTCTTTTTGTTTGATTCGGGCCTTTGATTCGTTAGATGAGGCCCACCCACATTACAGAGAGTAATCTGCTTTATTCAGTCTACTAATTTAAATGTTAAATCTCATCCAAAAACACCCTCACAGAAGCATCCAGAATAATATTTGACCATATATCTGGGCACTATGCCCCAGCCAAGCTGACACATAAAATTAATCATCACATTCACCGGGTTCAGGTGTCAACTGGAGAATGATCCCCCACCCCACCCCACCCCACACCCCGTCCCTGATAAGAAGCCTAGTTGCCCTTTGGAGGCTGCAGCTGGGGAGCTGAGTTCATTGTTCCTGAACTCAGGGGGTCTAAAGGAGTTAAAGGCAAAAGGCTGTGCCAGACAGGAACATATTAAATAGAATTGGGAGCAGATCCCATTTTTTTGAAGCTCTTTTAAAGTAAAAATTACAAAATTAGATACCAGCCTTGACAGGGGCCCTGAGGCATAAGCTTCACTTCCTCATAGTAAGTCATCTGCGAGGTAGCACTCAGGTGAAACGGAGAGAAGATAGAAGCCACTCCCCTGGCATTCCCGGAGCAGGCAGTATTGGCACAGCGGCAGGTGGCTGAAGCATTGAAACTTTAAATGGTGAATGTTGGGTGGTCATTGGGAGGAAGATTTGGCCACTAGGGGCTTGCTCTGCCTCTAAATCATAACTTACTACCTCCTTGGAAGCACAGCTATGGGAGCTTGTCTGTCTCCAGATTTCTTTCCTCTAAATCAGGGGTTGGCAACCTTTTCCTGGAAAAGGCCAGAGGGTAAATATTTTAGGCTTTGTGGGCCAGATGGCTTCTGTCACAACTACTCAACTCAGCTCTCATAGCACAAGGCAGTCACAGACAATAGGTAAATGAATGAGCATGGCTGGCTTCCTGTATACTAATTTTATGTACAAAAATAGTGGATGGCCCTGGTAGTGTGCTCAGTGGTTAGAGCACGGGCCGGTGCATACAAGGGTCCCAAAGGATCATGGGTTTGATCCCCAGCCCCAATTGGGGTGTGTACCGGAGGCAACACATCCATGTATCTCTCTCACATCTCTCTCTCTCTCTCTCTCTCTCTCTCTCTCCTCCCTCTCCCGCCCTTCTACTCTCTCTAAAAAAATTTTTAAATAAATAAATAAATAAGTGGAAAAAATATCCTCTGGTGAAGATTAAAAAAAAAAATAGTGGATGGGCCAGATTTTGTCCCCAGGCTGTAACTTGCTGACCTTTGCTCTAGATCACAGGTTTTTCATCTTTAAAACAGAATCTTTTCTATAAATGACATTTTCAATAACACCCAATATGTCAAGCTGACAAAAGCAGCTGCTCCAGTCAAAATTGGGGAAGGTGGGAGGCAGTCAAGGGTCCCGTCCTTCTCATGGTGGCCCACAGAAATCTCCATTGAGCCTCTTGGGCCCTGAGGAACCCAGTGTGGAATCCACCACCCACCCTAGCAGTCTCAGGAATGACCCTCTCAACATTTGCTGTAGTTATTTATTATCTCCACAACTACAATGTAAGGTCCTTGAGAGCTTGGACCATGGCCTTTTCATCTGTCTTCCCTTTCCATGGTGTGGCATTATCAGGGGCTCAGATACGGTTGTGTAACATAGGGTATTGGGGGACTTGGTCTAACATGACTCAGCCGGATGCTGACCTATGGAATGCTAGAGCTGAGAGGATCAGGGTTTGTCTTCTTCCAAGACTGACCTGGTCCACCAGTTTGTCAGGTGAGAGAATGAGGCCCTCTGTTCATTATGTAACTGATATCTGAACTTTCCTCATGCCCTGGCCAGGACTGTATTTTCTCATAGGTATTGAGTTTTGTGTGTCCCCAATATTTTTAGAAATAGCCTTTTAAGGTTTTCATGGGAATTATTAGGAGAAAGCAGGCTAGAGGTATTAGTACATGTGTGTGAGTGTGAGGGGCGATGTAGGGTGGGGAGAGAGGAGACTGTTGTTCAGAGCGTACTGCTGCTTCAGTAGAAAGGAAAATGTATGCTGTAGATGAAGGGAGTAGAACCATCAAAGGTGCTGTGATGGTTAATTTTGTGTCAACTTGATGTCCCTGGGGTGCCCAGATATCTGGTTAAACATTATTTCTGGGTGTGTATGAGGGTGTTTCTAGAATAGATTCCCTTCTGAATCAGTGGACTCAGTAAAGCAGATTGCACTCCCTCCTGAATGTGGGTGGGCCGCACCCAGTCTGTGAGGGCTTGAACAGAACAAAAAGGTGGAGGAAGAGACGAGTCATTCTTTCTGTCTGACTACTTGAGTTGGGACATCAATCTTCTTGCCTTGGACTGAGACTTAGACCACTGTCTTTCCTGGGTCCCCAGTTTGCAGAAAGCAGATCACAGAACTTAGCCTCCATCATCAAGTGAGTCAATTCCACAAATATTACACACACCATATATACATATATATACAGGGGAAGGTGGCGGGGGAGAGGGAGGGGAGGAGAGAGAAACCTGACTAATACAGTGCCTCACTTTTATTGGATGAATTAAATGGAACGGTAGGCTCATTATCGCAGTCCTCATTAACTGAGTTCCTCAAGTTATAGAGTCACACAGAAAGCAAAAATATCCACATCATGAAAATATTAAGTAATGGAGCGGCCTCATAAAATCTTGCTCTGCTCAAACATCTGTCCCAGATACCAAATTTCTCTGATTAGAGTCTGGTGTTACAAACACTGGGTAATATCATGCCAAAACAAAGGGACTGCATAATGACAGTGCAAGTCTGGCAAAAGAGGTAGGATTTGTTATGAAGTTGATGATAATGATGGTGGATTGCTGCCCAGATCTTGTGCAAAGCTATCAGCATGATGCTCTGAAAGCATGAAGAAATTAAAGAATTTCTTTAAAGAATGAAGAAAAGAACATTTACAAGAAAAGCAGGATAGATTCTTCTAGAGGGAGTGATTTAAACATCAAAGGATTAAGAGAAACCCTTGGGAGAATTTATGACATCTGCAAATATTTTTGTAAAAATGACTGCTGTAAAAAATGAAGGAGACTATATTACATAATCATAGAATTTTATCAGAAAAATTATCCTCTTTCCCAAAAGCCTGGTTTATTTCTTGTTCATTTTTCAAATGGTTGAAATTATAATAAAAATGTTGCTAGATATAATATAAAAAACACATTTAATTCTATTTTTCCAGATAAAATTTCAACCCAAATTTAGAAAAAATTATTGTCTTAGTACCAATTATCCTAAGATAATGAGGACTGTTTTCCATAAAGTTGTGGTGAGAAATATCTTCCTAAGCAAGACACAAAATGCCAAAGGAAAAGACTGTCAGAATTGACCACTAAAAACTTAATACTTTTGTATGACAGACTAAAAATACACAAACACCTCACTGGGTGGAAATCTGTGTAACACACATCATCACTAAATGTTCATAGCCATGACATGTAGGAAGCAAATCAATAAGAAAAGAGAAAAGTAACCCAGGGACAAAACAGGCAAAACCCATGGTTGGGTGGATTCACAGAAGAAGAAAAAGGGGAATAGAGGTGAGACGTGGCTAACAAGCCTGAAAAAAGATATGCACCCCTCCAGGTGATCAGGATGTGCAGAATAAAACACCCAAATTCCATTTCAACCCATAGATTGCCTACAACTTGGAGGTAACATCCAGTGTTGGTGTGGATACAAATAAATGCACACTCTTCACACACATTTCCTTTTTTGGAGACACATTTTAGTAGGGGCTAGCAAAATTAAAATGTGCATGCCTTTTAATACAGTAATGTCACTTCTAGGAATAGAAATCTATTCTGTAGAAGTACATGTTTACACGGAACTATCTACAAGTTACTTGCTAAAATATAATAAAAAATGAGAAATTATGTTATTACAATACTTATCACAAGGCCTTCTCTGGGTCTGCACTTTTCTGAGCACTTTACACCAATGAACTCAATACTCCATGGCAACCTCGTAAGTGCTTTCTTATCCCCATTGTATAGATGAAGGACCTGAGACACAAATGGTGAGGAAGCAATATATTCAAGGTCTTACAGCTAGCAGGAGGCAGGATTGTGATGTAATGCGACCTCAAGCAGTCTGGCATGAGTCTGTGCTCTACATCACTTGTTATACAATGTACATCCAGTATAAGACTGGCTAACTAAATAATACAAAATCCTTACAAGGAATACCAAGACATATTATAAAATGAAACAAATGGGTGTCAGTGTAATTCCATTTATGGAATATACAAACTGTGTATGTGTGGGGTGTACGGTATGTAGAGTATGTGTGGTGTAGGTATGTATACGTGTGAATGAGAGCAAGCAAAGAAACACGCACTGTTATTAGAGGTTGCTTCTGCTAAGGGACATGTGACTGGGACAGGTGATGTGGAGTGCTGGTATCAGGAGACTTTTCATTTCTATTCTAAAAATCTTTGAATTGTTGATTTTTAGGAGAATATAGTTACTAATTGCATGATTTTCAAATGTAGAAACCAAACACTAAGGGGTTGCAGGTACTCCTGACCTGGTCTATGAATAGTTTAGTTTAGGCTCAAGGGTTGCTGACAAGTTACCCCAGCGGGTGAAGAGCAGTTGCAGGCAGGGAGGAGGCCCAGTGAGTGGGAGCTTGGGCTAGAAGTGCTCTCCCTGAAGCAGTGATCCTTCCTGGCCCCATCTCACCCTGGTTAAGGCCTATCACATGCACACCCACCATTTATGAAAGTCCTGTTTCCAATGGCAGTGTTCTAACCAGCCAACTGTGCCATAGCACTTGTTCTCATGAATGAAGTATTTATTTGTTTAAATAAAGATGTATTGGGGAAGGAGGAGGAGGAACCTGGGGTATTGGGTGCCCAGAACACGCTTGATATATTTATGTCACCATGGATTGGCAAACCCAGTCATTTACAATCCTCCTTGCCTTCCTCAACTATAGAGCTTGAAAGCTAAATATACTCACAGACTCCCTT